TGAACTAAAAGTTGCTTTAAAAAGGATTACTGAACTAGACCTTCCATCACAATCTAATCCTCAAATTCTCTTATACTTGCAAAATCCGCTGGGAAATGACTGGTTGAGACATGCTCATTGTCAATCAGGGCGTATTGAAAATGAACCTAATTTTAGTTTTATCCTAGATTATTGTTTTGGGGAATTACAGAAAATCAAGTTTGTTGCGGTAAACAGTGATAAATCTCTGAAATTAGAACCTCAAGATTCGGCTTGGAATGAACAAGATCCCATAGGAGAGTTTGTCACTGACATCGGGTCTATTTTAGGAAAATCGAAGGGGATCCTTAAAGGGAACCTTGTTTTAACGGAACGTCCTGAGAAAGATCCATACCAGATTATCATCGTCGGTCGTGAACTTCCACCAAAAAATGGTAAAACACTTAATTTGAAAATTCAATGTCGCAATCTTCAACTACCGAAACTCGCTGTTGGAGCTGATGTATTTTATAAGTTAAGTAGCAAAATTCAAACAAATCCTGACACTCCTAGTGAAATGAAAGTTCTTTATGAAAGCGAAAGATGTTATTCTAAAAATCCTAATTGGTCTGTAACAAAATTATCCGAAGGTGATTTACAGAATGGGGGATCTAATGAAGAAATCAGTTTCACTTGTTGGCAACATAAACGTGGTAATCATAAGTGCATTGGAGAGTGTATAATTAAAATAGATAACCTTTTGTCATCAGAAAATGTTGGTTCTCAACAAATTTCACTCTCACCTAAAGGTGAACTGTTATTACAATGTGCTTTTGAAAATACTTTCCTTGACTATATTGCAGGTGGTCTTGAAATAAAACTAAATATAGCAATAGATTTCACATCATCAAACAGACAATATGTACACGGAATTGATTTGCATAACATTTCTTTGGACGAAACTAGTTATCAACATATGATTCGTTTAGTAGGAAGTGTTATGGAGAGTTATGATACTAATGGTCAAATTCCAATTTATGGATTCGGGGGTAAATTTTATGGTTCAGGGGATGTCTCTCATAACTTTCCTTTAAATCAAGATGATCAACAACCTGAAGTTATGGGGATTTCTGGTGTACTCGAAATTTATAGAGATACGTTATCAAACGTAACTTTATCTAGTCCTGCCAATTTTACACCTGCAATCATGTCTGTTGTTAACAGACTGCAGCGACTTGTTGACAACAATGTGAACGTGTATGAAGTTTTGCTTATAATTACATACGGACTAATAGATGACATGGAATCAACCATAAAGGCAGTTATGAATGCTAGTGTCTTACCTCTCTCAATTGTTATTATTGGATTAGGTAATGCGGATTTTACAAATTTGAATACATTAGCGAATGATTTTATGAGTTTTAATTGGGATGATTTAAAGCCACGAAACATAGTAAATTTTGTTACTATGAAAAATTTTGAAAGTCAGGACCAAATAGATAGAAATTTACCTAAAGCGGTTTTAAATAAGATTCCAAGTCAAATTATGGATTATATGTTACGAAGAGGAATTACACCACGGAAACAAATAAGATCAGAAACATTGGATAATCTTTTTGCAGAAAATAGACCACCTCCTGACTCTTTATAACAAATTGGTAGTAAGAAATGCCTTTGTATTTAGAGGCAAAAAAAAAAATTGTTTTTACCACCATTTTAGTTATGATAATGTTATTCTTATGTCTGAATCATGATCATCCATTCTTACGGTATCAGTAGCAAAATATGTAATAATTGTACATTTTAGTAAAATTTAATATATGTATTATAGCATAAAAAGGCAGAATTTATGACAATGATCATTGTCAAATAATGCTCTGTTATAAATAATTGACTAATATTAATTAAATTAATTAAGCAATATGAATGATATATATACAAATTAAACATTTTTAAAGACATTATTAATATAAAAAAATATTAAAGAAAAAATTAATATTTTATCTTATTTAAATATTGATAAGAAAAAGGTAGTAATGGTTGTGCAAAGCTATTAGGGTGTCTGGTACTCAAAAAAAATTTAGCTTGGCTATTCGGCATACCTTTGTTAAAATCTGTATTAGAATGCTATTATGGAATGCTGCTAACATTCCATAAGATATTTACTATACATATTATACAAATTCTATTAAATTGCAAATATTACAAATTTATTTTTTCTACTGTACCCAGTTGCATACTAAATTAGTTTTTTGACATTCTTATGACTAGTACGTCAGTCACCCTGATACTGATGTTAGTAAACTAGAAAATAAGAACAAAATATGAACCAAAATTACGATTATATTAAGAAAGCATAGTAGGCATAATAAGAAGGTTTACTTAAAACTAATTATAATCCTTTGTATTATTGCATTTTACATACAAAAGATTTGCTATGAAAAATTTTAATGATATTTACATACATGACAAAACACTACATTTCTTTTTTATCGTTTAAAAATATTATCGTTAAAATTAGTTTGAGTTGGTTGTTACCTTTAGTAAACAGTCGTCTGTATATATAATAAAATGACTTATAAAAAGACTTCATATTTAAAACTGGAAACCTGAAATGATGAGATAAATCATGCTAGTAATTCAGTTATACAATTTTTTGTATAAATTTATGATTTTGGAAAACTGAGATAATCACATCTATTTGCATTTCTTATTGCATTTTCTTTGTATTTATTTGAAATCTCTAAGGTTTCTATACAAGTATTTATATTTTATCATCTGCCAATTTATACTTGATTAGAACTCTACCAACAAAGATTTGATGAATTAGCAGTACTGATCTTGATAGAATTAAAAAAAAATTATTTAAGTCAGAGCTAAAACAAAGTATATTAAATACTGATTATTAAATAAATCTTGTTTTTGTACTAAAATTTTTATTAGTCCAAAAAACAATTTAATGCAGTATTATATGTATATAATATAGGTACTGTGTTAATAAAATATATATATGCTCAGTATTGTTAACTAAAAGTTGAAATTTTCACTAAACATTTAGATTTTTTAGCATTCCAATAGTTTCAGCTAAAATTTTTTTTACTAAAACAAATATTATATCAACTAATTAAAATGCAGAGCTATAATCATATATATTTATCAAAATCAACTAATCAAAGAACAAGTGTCACAAATAGCAATAGTAAATTTGTTAGTATAAGAGAATTTGAGGATTAGATTGTGATGGAAGGTCTAGTTCAGTAATCCTTTTTAAAGCAACTTTTAGTTCA